TTTGAATAGCTTGATCAAGAATTTTTCCTTTTCGATCACCAATATTCATTAACCATTGTTTAGTCCAACCATATTGATCAATAGTATCAATTATATTTTGAATATCACCTTGACGAGCATTTTGTAAAACATAATCTTTTAAGTCTAAACGTGAATCCAACATTTTTTTCATTAATTCTTGAGAAAATTCTTCGGTAACTTTAATTACACTCATTTGGATATTTGTTAATAAGTGATGAACTATTAAATAAAAAGAATCGTCGTTTATTTAATAATTAATGCGTTGTTAGTATGTCTGAATGCTAATATTTGACTTATCTTTTCCTATTATACTATTCTGTTTTATCATAATAACGTGACAAATGCGTAAGTGATTGATTTTTTTTTTTGTTCTTTTCTTCTTGTTCTATTTTTGCGTGATATAATAATCTTTATTTGGATTGTATTCTCTTATATGAAGGTTTTTTTTCTTTTTCTTAATTTTAAAGTAATTTTTTGTAATTAAAAGTTGATTTCTTTCATTTTTATATGGTATTAATAAATATTAATTGAAATTCAATTTATTTCAAAAAATTCTTTTGTACATTTTATCAATCTTTCATAATAATAATATATATTTAATAAATTTTAAAGAAGATATAAGATAACATTCGAAATTGTAGGAAAATGTCGAAGAGGAAAAGATTGAATATTTTAAAGCAGTGTTCCGAATGATGAGTGCACCAAGCAAAATCAAAGTGAGTGCGCCACGCACTCATTTGGATTTGCACGCTATATTTTGCATTCCACTCGAAAAAATAGAATGAACGTACTGCACTCTATTATAAAATTTTTCACTTTGTTTTATATTGATTATTTCGTTTTTACAATTAATTTTCTACTTATTATGTTCTTTGATTCAAGCAAAAAGTCTTTTCTTATTCTCATTTCAGATAATGAAGAAAAAAACAGTCATAGAGACACTGTCAAATAGCATCTATAGAAAAACTTTTAGTTCAATCAAAAGGAAGCTCAAATAATAGTCACAACCAAATGACTTCGAAGCGGAGTTGTTGCGAGCGAGTGGTTATCCCCTTATTTTTAGAAATTTTGTTTTTATGACTCAACGTTACAAAAAGTTTTAGAAGAGTCTTCGACAAATTTTTAAATATCCCTTAAAAATGATCAAAAGTTTCTAGAAATTTTTGAAAAGTTGTTCAGACACTCTTCAAAAATCTTAGAAAAACCTGAAAGTTTCAAAGATTTTCAGAATCTGTCAATAAATTTCTCAAGTTCTTCATTCAAAATTTCGATAATTTATAGCAGTTGTTTGAAAAATTTATCGACTTCCAAAACTTTAATATGTTGCAATAGCTCTGCTTCCAAATTGTATTTATTTTTGATTAATTAGAATGAACATCTAGATGTACAGATAGTCATCATTGATGATTTAGATTTTTTTAATCTTGTAATTTAATAATGATTTGTATTTGTATTTTTCCTTTCGACTTCATTTAAACTTTGCTACTAAATGATAATTTACATATTTTTTTAAAATTATTACTTCTATATATACACACAAATAGAAGTCTACAGTATGAAATATAAACTATTATTTATTTTCTTCTAGACGTATTTATACATTTTCACTTTGTTGCATGTTGGTTCTTGAAACGACGTGCAATATCTCACTATATTTCAAATTCTCATTCGGAACACTGGAGTAAAGCAAATTTCCTAACATTAAATACGTATATCGTCAAAATGACGAAAAATTCAGATTCTAAAAATAGTTCATCCAAAACTTCGCAATCCTGAGGGCGTGGGTATGTATGTTAGTATAGATCTTGCTTTGAATGACACTCACAACAGATTTTTCAAGAAGAAAATCAACGCAAAGTAACTATTGTTAGGTTAATCATTGTTAACTGGAAGGAAAATAAAAGATGTTATTATATTGTCGATTTTCTCACGTCTCTTTTCTTTTTCATAAATTAATCAACATAGTACTTATCATGCATCAAAAGGAATAGATCAATCATTTCGACGTTTTCCAGCAAGACCCAACATTCTATCCTCTGTTTAAAGCCACAATGTTCACGCTTATTAATGCGATGAACATCTCTGGAATATATTACATTCATAAAAACAAAAATATTGTATAATAAAGGTTCGCTAATAAATATAGTCATAATTGATTAAATTCAATGAAAAAAAAATCGAAAATTCTTAAATACAAGTTTTGTTTTAAATTTTTATGAAAACTAATCAAGTTTTTATTGTTTGATAAAAAAGAACTTGATTATTGATACAAATTCGATTTCATACGTTCTGTTCAAGTTAACAAACGAAAGTAAAGCAAAATAATCTATCAGATATATGTCACAGATTTATTACTCGACTATATAGTAAATTTATAAAAAGAAATATTGGAATTTGAATAAAATTATTATTTACTATTTAAAATCTTTACTAGATTATCGACATTATCTCTATATACATTGTTTTCTTTATGAAATATTGCTGTATAATTTGAATTATTTCGAATAAATTCTAAATCTTCTATTGCATCTGAATTAATAATATCATGGGTAAAGAATTATGAAAAAAGAAAAAAATGAAAGAGAAGCAAAGACATTTAGATATATTAGTTAATTGATATTAAATAATGTTTTTATTGAACAATCATAATTATTTTTGTGCCATAACTAATAGCAAACTAATGAAAAGATCAGATTCTGTGATGAGATATTATGAAAAAATATTTATTTGATTTTATAATGCTGTTCATGGTTTATATTTGTTTTTTTTACAGTATTTAAAGTTTCTTTCAATATTTTAATATTCGATCAAAACTGAATTAACTTATCAGTAACTAAAACTCAATCATAAGTTATAACATACACAAAATATGTTGTGAGGTAACCTCAATTTAATTTTTTTGAAATTAACAATCAATTTTAACTTTCTTCGGTAGATACATATGTATCACTTCATTATCAGAATGATACATATACAAAAACAAATTAAAGATAAATAAGCGTTATTTTTAAGCAAAAAATATGACAATGAAATACAAGAAAAGAATTGAGTTTTGTAATCAAAGAATGATGAGAAATACAAATGTTAAGTAAAGAAAATTATAAATAAACTAAGTCGCAACTTTTGTTGCTTCAAACTGACGTTGTGCAGCTTCTTCTTCAGCCATACGTCGACCAAAACAAAAAAAACATTTCTGAAAATGAACAAATGTCACTATTGATAAAACATAATAGAAATACAGCATGCTTTACCAATTTTTCTTGATTTACTGTATTTCTATAAAACTTCAGAATTTTTTTAAAATAATTGAACAGAACATTGATTACTTTATCGAATTGTATAGTTTTCATTTGATTAATTTTAACCGAGAATTTAATGAAGTTCTAGACGTTCTCAAAAAATATTTTTCTTCGAATCATTGTAATTTACCAAAGATATCAAGCTTTCTGATTCTTTTTATATGACTGAATAGAGTGTTAGTTTTGTTATCGAATTGATCTCATTAGAATCTGATTCAGATAGGCGCTTTTAAATACATCTTGCATTACACGAATAATCGTAGAACCTATTATTAACTGTGGTAACGAAATGCTAAAGAACTTAAAATTCATAAATTACAATTAAACATTATCCTTGCATACTTGATATAAACACGTTTTCCATTAATCTTTTCGATCTGAAATCATTTTCACGACAACCAGATTTTGTTTAAGACTAAATATTATTGTGAAAAAACTTTTGTTGTGGACGTTTTCAATATTTGACTAGATTTTTGGTCAAGATAAGAAATAGATCAAATAAAAATTAAACAGTTTGATAACTCGAACTAATAAAAATAAGTGAATCATAGTGAATACTTACCATCGAAATCCTCAATATTCCATTGTTTGGCCTTTTCTTCAACTTCCATTCATTCGGAATACTCGTTTATTCTGTAATCTAGTTCAATCAATTTGATATTGAGAGAATGAAAAAATAACATATATACTTACATTGATATAAATATTGAAGTTGTTCATTAGTTCGTTTCTTTTCCACTTCTGTGAACTCTAAATAAGCTAAGTCTCTTTAAGATTGTTTTCAGAAACAGAAATATTCAAAAAAAATGTGAATCAATTGTAAGTCCAGTCAAGGTTGAATACAGTTTATATTTAACGTTGATCATCATCATTTGGTTCTATTATATAAAAAGAAGATCTTAGATTTCATTTCCTTGCGAATTATGATTAAAACAATCAATAATTAGCTGGATAAAATGATGTATTATTCTACTAATCGCTTTTTTTCCTTTCTTCTAAAACCATATCTATTACAAATGAAATAATTAATTTGTATAAGTTTACTCATAAGCAAATAACAAGGGAAGACGTTAATATAATGACAAAAAAATCAAAGGTATCGTCTCATTAGAGATATTTTTCTCTATCAATGTGTTTATCTATAGAAATAAATTTCGAGAAAATATTAAATTAATTAAAACTCAATGTTATTGTTAATGTGCGTTGTAAATATTCTTTTCAGTTGTTGTTTACATATCAAAGAAAATGATAGATAATTCAGTTGGTAGTCGTTCTCTAAAATTTACTAGTTTTTCAATTAATAGATATTCGAAGTCTCTAATCGATATATGAACTAATACAAATATTGTCCTCAAACATCAAGCAATTAAAACTGAAACATATTATTATGAAATGTTGACCTAACTGAAATTCTTGAATAGACTACTCCTGCTTTATTGTTAACGTCATACGATTTCTATATGAAAGAGTCAAAAATTTATAGATCACATTAATCTTTAACGAATTTGATTGTTGTTAACAGAAATATGTTTTCTAGTATTTGTTTTATTTTATAACTCGAGTTAGAGTTTATTCATTTATGCACTAATATTATTAATAGTTATTAAGGATAGAATATATAAAAGTGAAAAAGCAGGCATACCTAATATCAATACTAATCTAAGAAAACAATAAGAAAGGTTTTAGTTTTGAAGATGACTTACGTGCAGAGCATTCAGCAAAGAATTGCCAACTTCAGCCAGTGTAAGCCATGATAAAAGTCAATATGAGTAGATGTATTAATAATATGCATTAAGATATTGATATGTTGTTTTCGATTAATAATTTTTCAATCAGTTTATTTATACATATTGTTTCTATGAATTGTATAACATAAGTAGTCAAAAAGCAAACA